TTATTTCTCTTCAACAGGTAGGAGAATACCCCGTTTTAAAGATAACCTGCCTGGCAGGGACTGGGTTAAAACTTTCTTAAAGAGGCATAGGGACCTAACAGTCAGGTTTGCCACCAACATTAAGCGGAGCAGAGCAGCTCTCAATGATCATCAAATGCAGGATTATATAGAAAATTTAAAACAAACCTTGGAAGGGGTTCCACCACATGCAATTTTCAATTATGATGAAACCAATGTAACAGATAATCCTGGTAAAAAAAAAAAATTCTAACCAAACGGGGCATGAAATACCCAGAAAGGATAGTTAATTCATCAAAAAGTTGTATATCCCTAATGATTGCAGGAAATGCAGCAGGTGAGGTTCTGCCACCTTATGTGGTGTATAAATAAAAACATTTATGGGACAGGTGGACAGAGAATGCCCCACCTGGTACTCGCTACGCCAACACAGCATCTGGGTGGTTTGAGTCAGAAACATTTTCGGATTGGTTTTTCAGCTGTTATTACCAAAATTAAAAAAAATTGAAGGCAAAAAGGTTATTATCGGCGATAATTTATCCTCGCATTTAAATGCCGATGTATTAGCAGCCTGTAAAGACCATAATGTTCAATTTGTTTGCTTGCCTCCAAATAGCATTCATGTAACGCAGCCACTAGATGTGGCATTCTTCGCCCCATTGAAAAAGGCATGGCGTGAAATTTTGTCAGATTATAAAGAATCCCACGTTGGAAGAAGGTCAAGTGTGCTCGAAAAACAACATTTTCCGACACTTCTAAGGCGGCTAATGGAGAAAATTTCTGAAAACAGTGCTTCAAATTTAGTAGCAGGATTCAGAAAATGTGGAATCGTTCCTTGTGATGTAAGTCTCTTATTAGAGCGATTACATAACAATCATCGTGTCGTCAATCAAGAGAATATACCTGAAATAGAAAATTCGTTTCTTGAATGTTTGGAAAATAAAAGGGAGGCTACTCAGTTTCAAGTCCGGGGAAAGAAAAAGAAAATAACAGTTCCAGCCGGAAGAAGCATTGCTCACAGCGAAATCGGTTTACCTGGAACTTCAGGAATAGTTAGAGCTCCAATATGCAAACACTCTAACCCTCAAGGAGAGAATGAAGTTTCAGAAGGAGAGAAGTCAGACAAGCTTCCTGAACTTACAGATTCAGATGATGAAGTTCATGAAATTCAAGACATGGAGGAGGATATTGAATTTAATAAAAAAACTTGAATCTGGTTATTTTGCCAAATCTGCAGCTGAAAAAAATTCAAGAATCAGGTCTAAAAGACATGCAGAGAGCTGTAGGTGAATACATTTTAGTGTTGTATGATGGCAATCCTTATCCTGGAATCATAACCGAAATTGAAAACGAAATGGTTAAGATTAACGCAATGGTGAAGTCGCTGAAGTTTTGGAAATGGCCTGAAAAGACCGATGAAATTTGGTATAGCTGGGACAATATACTTGGTGCTATAAATGCACCTAAGCAAATGACCAAACGTGGTTTGTATTCTGTACCGAGTGCGACCGATTTTGGTGGAATTAATGTTCATACAATTTGAAATTGTATTCAATGTATTTTAGGTTAAATAAACTTTAATTTTCTGTACTTTTTTAAATAATAAACGATTAAAATCTTAAGTTGTGTTGATTATATGCCTAAATCCCACAAAAATTAAAAATTCCTATACCAAAAGAAGCGCACATTCTTAAACTTAACAACGGTGTGGGGTTTCTTTGCCTCGCATAAATTATACTATAGAAAAACCAGTCTTAAATGAAGTGGTGAAAAGTAAACCCATCATATAGCCTACTTTGCACCAGATTTCAAATGTACATAATTCAAACCTGGATCTATATATTATGTTTAAATTAGGTAGGTACATATTTTAACACCTTTAAAATTGATCTAAGTAATCACAACATTTTTAGTATCCTTCATAGGGCATTTATTACAAACTTTTATAAATAAAGTCAAAATATGGAGGAAAGTAACCCCGTTTTACGGTATGACGTTTACTTTTTTTTTTCTCGAAAACTACACTATATAGACACGGTTTTAATGTATCATTCTGTTCTTTAGGGTCGAAAGAGTTGGTGACTATTTGGTTGAAAGTTGCATAGTAAGGTCGCAATATATGCAAGTGTGTCAAAAATCTTATCAAGTCACCCCACGGTAATTCATTTTTACTTACTTTTCATATTTGCTATTTAAATAAATGAAGTATCATTTGAAAATAGATCAATATTATAAGAAGCTAAAAAAACCTAGATTTTCAATTTTTACTCCATTCTATTACCAAGTTGCCAGGTTTAAACAGATAAGACCATGTTCAAGTGAATCATTGGTTAAAGTTAAGGAAATTTTGTTCTCTTCATGATAGTATTGGGTTGCCAAAGAAAAACTTGACCACACTCATGGTTGCCGCGGTTTGAAAAATGTGTTAGAGGTGTGACATAAGAGTACTCCAAGTGACAGACAAAAACGCCCAGTTGCGAGTGCATACATACGTAGCGCAGATGCATGTTGCATTACATTCATCGTTACACTCAGCATTACATCCGATATACTTTAAGCATTCATTCCTGACTTCTATGCTACTCTTAGAAATGTCCCTGTAATCTGCATTTTCTTGGCCAATAAGGAAGTTCTCCGACAAATAAATACGTTACAAGCGTCACCCACTTCTCATTGGTTAACGTCATAAGCGTCATTCACTCCTCATTGGTTAAAAAATCATTACGTCAGCCTCAAGCTCGCTTAACGACTCATCTCCCAAACACTGCTTGTTAAACAGTTAACGAGACCACACGCGCTTGCCGCGATGAAAAGGGACGCTATGTCCGCCAATATATACAGGGTGGCTCACGCTCAACGGGACGGAGCTTTATGGGAAAACGACCAAAGATATAAAAAATTCGTTTGGGAGGAATACGTAGGTTACAGACGGCTACAATTTAAAATTTGTTAGATGTATACAGGATGTCCCACATAAGAGAAAATATACAAAGTTATATTTTTAATGGAACACCTTTTTTTATTTTAGAATTAAAAACTACATCAAAAATAATGTCAGTTAACTAAAGGTTCCCTATTACTATTATTATTAGTTTTCGATTTATTTGAATTTTTAAGGAAAAAAAGTCTCCCGGAAATTAATTGTTTACTCTTGTTTGAATAATTTTTAATGAACTAATTTTTTTTTCTTATGTGGGACATCCTGTATACATCTAACAAATTTTAAATTGTAGCCGTCTGTAACCTACGTATTCCTCCCAAACGAATTTTTTATATCTTTGGTCGTTTTCCCATAAAGCTCCGTCCCGTTTAGCGTGAGCCACCCTGTATAACAAATCATTTCTCAAGTAATATGGCTTAAGGTTACAAATTTCCTGTAAATAATGTAAAAAGTGTATGTTCTTAAGTAAATCATGTATGTTAAATCAACTCTTTTCATTCAGATTTTTAAAATAAAAGTGTTCATTAAGAGGTAGTCTTTTAATCCAGGTATCTACATTTTCCAGACCTATGGATCACACAGGTATTTCAAACTTTCTTATTATTACAGTCCACGGATTAGTCACGGGCCAAATTTCGGCCCTATTTTATATGTGGCGTGATACACCGGTAGAAGCCTGTATATCGGTGTGATCGCAACAAGCTGTATGCAGAAGATTCCGGTTGATTCATAGAAAACCACTCAAAACCAAAGAAGTTGCTTGAAGACCTAATACCATTGCAAGTTGAGGATATTTTATGTGTTCCGATATCTTATTCCAATTTCAACTATTTACGAGAAGTTAGCTACACTCAATACAAGAAAGGGACCGGGTCCTAATACGATTCCTCTTGTACTCTTGCAAAACTGCACCTTTATATTGTCTCGTCTTGTTTTTTATTGTAAACAAATCATTTGACATTGCAAACTATCGTCCCATATCTAAAATTAGCATAATCTCAAAGCTCTTTGAAAGCATCACAACAGACTACTTAACTAGTATCATAACTCCACAACAATTTGGCTTTCGCACATTCAAGTCATGTCATTACCCTGTACCCCGTTATGTCCCGGGACCCAAGTGACAAAACTGTATTTTCCTCGCCTAGCTCATTCAATTTTTCTAGGCATCTCCAGACCATTTTTGAGCTGATTACTTAAGAGCTCAGCGCTTTAATTGCTGCTTGGCTATCGGACATGATCATAATCTCTTGTTTACGATAGTTTCTCTCGATGTTAAACTGGATACACTTCTCAATGGCGTGAATTTCCGTCTAGAAAATGCTTATTCACTGTTCCAATTGGAAGTCTATTATTTGGGACACATTATTTGAGATAAAAGGGAACGAGTTTTATTGAAATGTGCTCATATTACCGGAAATTCGTCAAAGACTTTGCCGACTTGCTAATCCCTTTCATCGACTAACTGAAAACAGTAGTATATTTGACCGGACACCGGATTACAGAGTCAACGGATCAGGATAGACAGTGATAGACAACTAGGTTATGATTTATTGGTTTTTGTGTTAACTATTTTTATTCGAAATAACAGATGAGGACCAATTTTTATATTAATCTTTTTAATTCTGCTCCTTACAAGTGAATTTTAACCCCTGAAGTCGACTGAGCTTGTGTAGGGAAGGTACGGCTATTATTATTATTATTATTTGCCGTGGCGCTACATGGTGATTTATTAAAGATGACTGATGGTGTCATTTGACTTACAGGTGAGGAATACCCGGAAAACCTCACCTACCATGTATTATATGATAATGTTTGTACATTAAAAAGTGACTTTAATATTGGGCATGTTGAATATAGTGCTAAAAATTCAATTTAAAATTACATTAAAAGTAGTGCATTAATTTATATATTACAAAGTTACTTATGACTTCTTAAAAACCATAACAAACGCATCAAAATAAAAATAAAAAGAACAAAAAAAAACATTAGCTGCAAGATAATTAAGGGCGATATAAAAAAATACAATATTTTGATTTACCTTTGTTATACCTGGTAAATCTACCAAAGTCAAATTAACTACTTTTGTAGAGTATATTTTTAAGTTAATAGGTTCTGCACATATGCCTTTGTTGCTTCCAGCCATTCGGCTAGTTTCAGCCTCAATTTCATTTCTAATTTCTTCGAAACTTCTGAATACTTTATCTTTGCAATGAAGAAAAACACCCCAGTCCTCGACTTCAATTGTGCCTGTAAAAAAACCATCAAGAAAAGAATTTGAAACAAAACAATTTTATCAATCTAAAAGTTTTGAAAAAAAAAAAAGGGATATATTTAAGCAACCATTTGTTGGTTTATATGTCAACAATTTTCTTTTTTCAAAATTTAAATGTATCCCTTTTTAAATCTGCTAATAAATTACAATAAATATTTTGTTAAGATTCAATAATAGTATTAGTATCAAGAGGTTTACTGAGTTAAAAAGATTGTTGTGTTCTTTGGTTAGACATAATTTTAAGGAATGTAGTTTACCATCAAAGGTGTACAACATCTAGTGACTCACCCAAGTCATAATTGTTATTATTTTCATTAAGCTCTTCACATTTGACAAAAACTTCAAGGTTCACTTTGGACAGACTCACTTTTCTGAAGCTTTTGTCAGCTTTAATATTAAATACAGTAATAGTTTAACTAGTAATAATGTTTAAATGGATGTATATTTTATATTGGTAAATCATTAAACAAATTGTAATTATATATTTCATTCATATGTAATGAGCAAAGATAATGTAAGTGACTTAAGTATTCAGATATATTAAAAACAAAAGTATATTTTATTTCAGAATTATCACAAAAAAAACTCTGATTAGAGGTTTCAAAAGTGATATCAATAAAATTATCACTTTTCAGGAATAAGGTTAAAATAACCAGAGATATGTGAATTTTTTTTTTTTTTCATTCTGGAAATGCTACTTTGATCAATCTTATTTGGTTTTGGAACCCTTTCTTGGTCAGTTATAAAAGTCTGAATTTCAGTTTTCATTTGGCTATAGATGATTTGATTGATACATAGAAAAATTAAAGAAGAAGGTTTGAATTATCTGTAGGAATTGTTCGCTTGTTTGTAGTTCATCTAGAAGTGATTAACGTGTTGCAAACACTAAAAATAAAGCCGTTTTACACCCATAAAAAAAGATGTTTTTAAAAATAGTAATAAAAAAAACAAGAATTTTACTGATGCAACTCTTTAATACAATGTATGGTCAAATCAGGGACAATCGCTAATAAATCTCCTGTTGGACATTAAAAAAGCCTTTGACTGTGTCTGGCACAACGGCCTCCTATTTAAACTAAAACTTCTTAATGTTCCTGATGGTCTTATAATTCTTATCAAAAACTTCGTTCAAAACAGAACTCTAAGAGTTAAAATAAATAACCACACATCTCCAAGTTTCATAGCAAATCAAGGTGTACCGCAAGGGTCGCCACTATCTCCGCTCCTTTACAACATATATTGCTTTGATTTTCCTTCAGGTCAGTTACACCTCAATGCAGTAAATTACACACTCCAATACGCAGATGACACGGCCTTGATATCGCATGGAAATACGCTGAATCAAACCACACAGCACTACAAAATCAATATAACGAAGTTGCTTAATGACTCAATAAATTGATATTGCAAGTTAACCCATAAAAATGTCAATAGGCCTTTTCATCACAATTTTTTTTCGTACTGTTTTTTGTAAACAAGCATGTTAAAATGTCCACGTGAAAAAAATTATAATCGATAAATATTAATTTTAAGTATATTCGTTTAAAAAAATTAAAGTAATAAGTGTCTTAATTGAAAAACCCATTTTTGCAATCAATTAATTATGTTATCATTACGGAAAGGAAAAACTAAACGGTATTGTAATATCGTAATAAACTATCAAATTAGGCAAAATACATATTAAAACATGTTCAAAATGAACATTATGAGTGAAAAAATGTGGTCGAAGTAACAAAGGTTTTCGATCGATTGATGGATGATGTTAGGTAGGTACTAAAGATACTTATATTTGTTCACTACATTTTCATGGAGAAAGTGGTTCAACAGAAGAAAATCCTTGTCTGGTATTACACAATATTTTTTAATATTAAATACTACTTCGGTATACACAATAATACTATTAAAAATGTCATGTTGATCCTTAAAATTTTAAATAAATTATCTTATTAATGATACTCGTGATTATGTTTCATGTTAAAGTGTTTTTGCAATTATTAATAGTTAGTTGGCATAATTAATTAGAATAGAGTTATAATTATTATTTGTTTTCATTAATTTTACACAGTTAATATTGAAACCTAACCTCTCAATCACACTTTTTTCCTTCTTCCGAACGTCCACGTCACTTCAAGAACCTTTTTAATTGCTCAAAACTATGTGCTTCCACAAAGTTATAAAAATGTAAATCACCATCAACGATTTTTTCCAATGATTGATTTGTATTTAGAGATAATATTGCTTTTCCAGCCATTGTTGATCGAAACAATACGAAACTTTTGAATTTGCACTATTTCAACATGGCGGTTGCGCTTATCACATGATGAAAAAGCCTATTAATGATACCCTATCATGATCTAAGACCGACATCACCTTCACTCATCATATCTAACCAACCAATCTATCCCGTATCCTCATGGAAATACCTAGGCCTTATTATTGATAATAAGCTGAACTTCAATTAACACACCCGCAGACAAAAAACAAAATCAAAACCAGAGCCAAACATTTCCGCTATTTAAGATACAAAAAAGAAGGTATCAACATCTACACGACCACTAAAATCTACAAAACAATTTTCAGACCTCTCCTGGAATACGGTCACACTATATATTTAAACTGCCGAAAACCTGCATTAAAAAACATTCAAGTGGCCGAAACTTTTACACTAAGAATCATTACCAAGATGCGACATCCTGAAAACAACACTCACCATCCAGAGAATGAATATTTTTACGAAAAAACTAAGATTCAGCCTAACCTGGAAAGAATTAGAAAACTGTCAAAAAAATTCTCGAAGAAACGAAACAATCACATGCTAATAAACATGTTTTCGATGCAACGACAAATAAATTGGTCAAGCAAAGTTTAAATACCCAATGTGATCAATAACAGAAATCTTAAACGAATCTGTTGATGAACAATAATTAGTGACACATTGTTTTTTTAAGTATCTTAATATTCGTATTCTTCTCACACATATAGCTTGTAAATCTTCATACATACCATACAAATTGTACTGGCTGAACGACCTAGGTCGATGGCCATTTGGTTGTAATATTCATAACCAATGAAGTGCTTTTATTATTTTTCATTAATAGATGTAAAGTTAAGGCTAAATTTAAATGTTATAAGATGTGATGTAAATCCGGCTTTAATTGTAATATATCTCTTTATTTAGTCAAAAAACTAATTCTATTTACATATACAGCATACATAGTAATAAAAAAAAAATAGTAATTTTTACAAACTAATTCTTTTCACATATACAGTATATAAAGTAATAAATAGTACATGGAGTTTTTTATAAAAAATACATTACACATAAACGAAAATTAAATTTAGAAGTAAACAAATTTACATTAATATATGTATCACACTGAGCTTATTCTGACATGAGATAGTTTTTTAATTCTCTTTTGAAAATATTTACTGACGAATTTTTTTTGATATATTCTGGTAAATTATTAAAAGAATTTATACCTTTGTGAAATACAGAGTTATATGTACTGTTTTTTCTACATCTTTGAATTCTGAAATTATCCTTATTTCTTGTGTTATAATTATGTACATCCATACTATTAGAGAGCCTATCCTGCAGATACACTGGAGCATGTCCAATTTTGACTTTAAAAATAAAAATTAATGTGTAATATAGTAATAATTTTGTTATTGGAAGCCAATTTAGTGCATTTAACATACTGTTTATAGGAGTGTACTTCGAACATTTTAATATTATTCTCATGGGACGGTTTTGCATTTTTTGGAGATGACTTATTTCATTTTGGTTAAGTAAATACAAAATTGTAGGACAATAATTGAAATGTGGCAATATTACAGTGTTGAAAATTGTTAATTTTGACCATTGGCTAAGATGTGGCGAACATTGTCTTAAATAATTAATTTTAAAGGTTAAAGTTTTAATAACTTGATTTGCATGATCCTTAAATTTTAAATTATTGTCAATGGTTACTCCTAAATAAACAAATTTTTTTACTATTTCTAAATTTTCATCATCTAATGTTATATTTAAACTATCTTCCCTATACCTATTTTTTACGCCTAATATCATACATTTAGTTTTTTGAATATTAATTTTTAAGAAATTTGCACAACAATATATATGCACCCTCTTCAGGGAGTCATTCATGACTCTTGTACAATACTCCAGATCACTGCTGCAAAAATACAGTAGAGTATCATCTGCAAATAAATGAATTTTGCATACCCCTGCAATGTCCAAAATATCATTTAAATAAATTAAAAATAGCAGAGGCCCCAAAACACTACCCTGCGGGACACCTATTTCATTACATAACCTGTTGGACTTCATGTTGTTGATTTTTACCATTTGTTGCCTGTTGTTTAAGTAGTCCATTAACCAACTAAGAGCTGTCCCATCAATACCTACGCTTTTAATTTTCTTTATTAATCTAGATCTATCTACTGTTTCGAATGCTCTTTGTAGATCTAAAAATACTGCAATTGTAAAGAGGTAATTTTCAATATTACTTTTCCAGTCGCTTAAAACACATTGTAGAGCCGTTTCACAACTATGTTTATTGCGGAATCCTGATTGATACTCACAAAGAATCTTATTATTTTCTAAATAATTTACTATTTGATAATAAATTAGGTTATGTTGTACTACACTAAAAATATATTAGTCTATTTTCGTAGAAAATAGAATATGTAGGCGAGTAAAATGTAATTAGGCATTCCAACGACCTGTCAAAATGCTGCCAATAGGAACTGACAATTTATAATGGATTTTATTTGATGCACTAGTGTCACACTTGACACTGTATTCGAGCTGCCATACTTGTCAATAGTACACAATAGTACACAATACTACACTCAAGTATGTGTCAAATATTTGAAGCTAAACGGAACAAATCAGATATGAATAGTGCAGAAAACTTACACCCAATGCAACAAATAATATTTGGAGTTTATAATAGGCCTTTTCCTTTGCATC